AAGAGTTCTCCTAACTTCTCGTGGCCCTTGGCTGATGCTTTCAATGCTTTCATTAGGGACACGGCTATTTGTGAGATCCCTAGGGTCGGAGCCCGGTACACTTGGTCTAACCATCAAACCCCCCCCCCCCATCTGCTATGTCCTTGATAGAGTTTTTGTCTGCCCTAGATGGGACCGTTTATTCCCTCGTGCTAGTCTTAAGGCCCTTGCCTGTGTTGGTTCCGATCACACCCTCCTACTTCTAGATGATGGAACGCGGTCTATGGGTGTCTCGAGGTTTCAGTTTGATGCCTCCTGGCTGCAAGTCGAGGGCTTCAATGACTTGGTGGCTCAAAAAAATTTGGCTTTCCTTTCTTCTACTCGTCGTTCTTTTGGCCCGATGGACGACTGGCATCAATGCTCCTATTTCCTGCGTAGATTCCTTAGAGGTTGGTCCAAAAACCACTTTGCTGAGTCAAGGCGTGACAAAGCAAGGCTGGTGGCTCAAATTGGCGTTTTGGACAAACATGCAGATTTAGCTGGGTTGTCCTTAGATGAATGGCATGCTTGGTATGGTTTAGAAGAGGCGTTGTTGGGCATTCATAGGCAGGAGGAAGTTTACTGGAAACAACGCGGTACTATCAACTGGGCCCTTAAGGGGGATTTGCCCACGGCTTATTTCTTTGCTATTGCTAATGGTAGACGGCGAAGATGCTTTATTGATAGCCTTATTATTGACAGTGTAAGGACTTCTGACCCTCCGGTGATTATGCGGCATGTGGTGTCTTTTTTCTCTAACCTTCTAGCGGCTAAACCTAATCTAGGCTTTAAGTTGGTTGTGTCCTTCTGGCCTCCGTGTGATCAACTCTCGACCGTTGACAATGAAAGCCTTCTGATCCCCCCTACGGAGGAGGAAATTTTCGAGATGATTCGTTCTGCCAATTACAATGCGGCCTCAGGCCCTGACGGCTTCTCCATTCCTTTTTTCCGGAAATTTTGGCCTCAACTAAAAGGCCTAATCTTGGCTATTACACAAGGTTTTTGGTTGGTCACTGTAGATATCTCGAGACTTAACTACGCAGTTCTTACCCTCATCCCTAAAGTCAAAGGCGCTGACATAATTTCCCAATTTAGGCCTATTGCTCTCATTAACAACTTTGCTAAGATCCCTGCCAAGGGTATGGCTGTTAAGGTTTCTCCGATCGCTCATCAGGTCATTAGCCCTTTCCAATCTGCGTTCATTAAGGGGAGATTCATCTTGGACGGGGTGCTTTGCCTTCACGAAATACTCCATGACCTTCGTACCAAGAACACCAAGGCTTTGGTTCTCAAGCTCGATTTTGAAAAGGCATATGATTCGGTGAGCTGGAATTTTCTGCATCAAGTTTTGCTGGCCAAGGGCTTTGATAGTTTGGTGGTTCACCGCCTGATGCAACTTGTCACTGGGGGACATACGGCGGTGGCTGTAAACGGCCAGACCAGTAATTTCTTCGCGAATGGTAGGGGTTTGAGACAAGGGGATTCGGCGTCCCCTTTGCTTTTTTAACTTTGTGCTTGATGCTCTTTCCCACATTCTCTCTTGTGCTGCGGCGGCTGGCCACATTTCGCCTGTTAGCTCTCATCTCATTCCGAATGGCATCTCTCACTTACAATATGCGGACGACACCATCATTATGGTTGAACTCAATGACTCGTCCATCACAAATCTGAAATTTCTTCTTCTCTGCTTTGAAGCTTTATTGGGCCTTAAAATCAACTTCTCTAAGAGCGAGGCTATTGTGACGGGGGTACCTGCTGAGGAGGCGCAGCGGGTAGCCCACCTTCTGAACTGCTCGCTCGGGTCGTTCCCTCTTAAATATCTAGGCTTACCCATTTCCCCTCTTAAAATGTTGGCTAAGGACTTTCCCCGGCTGTGACTAAAGTTGGCAATAGAGTTCTGCCGTGGCGAGGCCGGTACAATTCCCAGGTGGGTAAGATTGTGATAGAGGCAAAGGTGTCCCGTCTTTCGATGAGATGATGGATATCGCTTTGGTGGAAGTCGACTTTGATGATCCGACTACGAACGTGCGAGGACGTCGCGCCTTAGCAATCGCTAAACCAACTCCGAGAGGTTATTGACCACGCCGGAGCACGATCAACTTGACCACGAGGGTCTGTTTCCTGCGAGCAAACGAAGAACAAGCAAGAAACTGAGATTGCAATCTGGATATTGCGAATATAAGATGAAAGCTTTATTGATCAAGGTGGGGTTCTGTGACGCCCTTGTCTGGTCGTTGAACACAAACGAAGTACGCGAAGTTGCAGCTATGGCAAACTTTAATCTAAACAAAATCCAAAGTCTAAACGGTGCCCTAAGGGCTGTATATATGGAGGAAGAGAGGGGGAATTTCATGGCCCTTGGTGGAGGGGTTCGAAATCAACCCTATCTCTTGTTTCCCCACACATACGGACTCTAAAAATAGCCTATACTTATGTATTTCGAAATTACATGGGCCTGGCCCAATAAAAAGGTGACGCAGCACCTATAATAGCCTCTGGACGAAATTTATGAAGTGACATCTTGTATATTTCGTCCAAGGCTTCATGCACTCGTTATGGTGGCTTCAAAGACCTGAAATCATCACTTGTAACTCCGTTCTTGTTCCCCTTGCGCGTGCCATCATCTCCATGCTTGTTCTTGCTCCAATGTTCATCCTTCTCCAAGCTAGGCCCTTCATTTGTAAGCAAAACAAATGTATCCAATTTAGGCAGCATCATATTCTCATGAACATTAGAATCATTACCAAGAAATGAAAGTACCTGGTAATTTAGTTGGCGTGCGCGAGCTCTAGTAATTGGTCCAGTATGTATAGCAGCAGGGGCTGTGGGTGTAACAATGGTATTGATGTCCTCATCAGGTTGCCCTCACCAACTCCTGCCTCTCCTCGCTCCCGATGTTTCTCATGGGATTCTACCTGTTGTACGAAGGGACACACTCGGGCTTCGATAAGCACGGGGGTGCCTTCTTCTGGAATTCTGCTGATAATAAACACAAGTATAGGATGGTTAAGTGGGCTCTCATCTGTAGACCCAAGAACATGGGAGGCCTTGGTATCATTAACACCAGAATCATGAATAATGCCTTTTGCTTAAATGGTGGTGGAAGATTATGTTCCTCGACGACCGCCCCGCCTGGCTTAATATTCTCAAAGCGAAATATTTCCCCTCCTCCAGCCCTAAGTTCGCTCCTGCCTATGGTGGCTCTCAATTTTGGCGTCAGCTGGTCAGCATTAGGCCGGCTTTCCAGTCCCTTGTGAAGTTCGTTGTCCGTAATGGTAAATCCACGCGTTTTTGGTTAGACTGGTGGGTTCGGGACACCACGTTGGCGGTGGCCCACCCGACTCTGTTTTCGTTCTGTGCTGATCCTGAGATCTCAATCTTTGAGCTCTCGGCTCAAGGCTAGGTTTTAGATTTCCGGCGCTCTCTTTCCCCTGTAGAGTTGGAAGATTGGCACCGCCCTATTGCCTGCTTCCCCCTGCTCTCGGAGGAAGAGGACTCCGTTGCTTGGCCCCACACCTCTTCGGGGCATTTTTCGGTAAAGTCGGCATATTCAAAACTCATCGTTGGTACCCGCACTGATAAGTTTAAGTACATTTGGTCTGCCCGTATCCTTCCCAAGATCAAAATCTTCCTCTGGCAAGCGCACCGTCGCAAACTTCCAGGGGCTGACCAGATTAAGAAGAGGAATGGTCCGGGCTCGGACTTCTGCCAGCTCTACGGTACCCTGGAGAATACTGATCATATCTTTTTCCACTGCTCGTTGGCTAAATTAGTTTGGAGCTGCATTAGACTTTGGCTTGGGGTTAATTGGAACCCTTCCTCCTTTGTGGATTTGCGGCAGTACATCAAGACCCTAGTTGGTCGTTCTAAGAGGGTTTTCATGGTGGGTTGGGCTGCGACTTGTTGGGCTCTATGGACTACTAGGAACAAGTTCACTATTGAACACATTTTCCCTACTAACCCAGTCAGTTGCTTATTCAAAGTCAATGTCTTTTTGCAGCAGTGGAGATCATTGACTAAGGATGGGGACCTAGAGGCTTTCGACGATATGCTATCCAAAATGAAATCTACGGCTTCTTCCCTGTTGCGGCTCTCTAGGCGGACGCTTCCTTAGTGGCTTGGATGTTGGTTCGACTGGGCTGCGTGCCATGATAGGCTGGTTGCCTTGTACCCGTACTTCTTATTCGATTCTGTTAAACTCTTGTGGATCCTTGGTTTGGTTGTGACGCTGCCTGGTGGCTTTATTTATAAAATCGGGCTATCGCCTTTTCTCTAAAAAAAATATACTACTTCCTCGTTTTAAAATTATAATACTCCCTCTGTAAATTAATATAAGAGCGTTTAGAACACTAAAGTAGTGACATAAACGCTCTTATGTTAGTTTACCGAGGGAGTACTTATCTTGGGACGAAAAAAGTACCGTGTATGAGGGTGGACCTATTCAAATAGTGCAGGTACGTGTGATCCATGCACCGACGTTAAACGTGTGTACGAGCACTTGGTTGCGTCGTCTCTTAAGTTTCCACTTTTCTCTAATTCATGGTGCTAACTGGAGCCTGTTTCATTACCCTCCACCCCAAATCGCCAATGGTCGAAACAATCGATTAGAGAGTCATGCCCATGACTCCATGAGTGTAGTTGGTGCTGTCAGAAAGGGACGAGGACCAACGTGTTGGTTGGTGGAGCCTGCAGGGTGATGAGTTGACGAATGGCAACGGCAACGGGGCCAGCAGGGTACGCTCACAGGAGATCTCGGCGGTGGCCGGTCACGTTGCCGTGCACTCGAGTGCACACCGTAACGACCCGACATTCTCCACCGTCACGTGAAGTCCTGCCTAGATCACGGACGCAAAGAAACGAAAAGAAAGAAGAAAAAGTCACGCACGGTCACTGCTAAATCCACCTTCATTCGTACACACGCTCATATAAATCTCGCCCTTCTCTTCTGCCACCTCTCCCCTCTCTCTCTCTACTCTCGTCTGATGGAGTGCAAGGCGGCGAGGGAGCCGTCCTCGTCCGCCCCCTCTTCTTCCATGGACAGCTGTGGCGCCGGCGGGCCGCGGGCGACGGTCTCCACGGCGTCGTCCTTCTACCGGCCGGCGATCGACAGGGGCCTAAGCACGGACCTTCACCTCGGGCTCAGCCTGCGGTCGTGCTCCTCCTCCTTCCACGCAGCTGACGGCGTCTCCGCTTCCACTCCAAGGTCTCTGCAGGCTCGTGATTTTATCTCAGAAATTAAACTTCTTGTTCATCATTTTGCATCGGTCGATCTCTGGCTCTCTGCACATAAACCGACGCATCCAACCTGCCGTCTTCTTAGGAGCGCCCTGACAACAACGGCGGGTCCGGCGTATGAGACAGGCGGCGGCGGCGGCAGCCATGGGCAGCAGTTGCTGTTTGTGAAGGTGTACATGGAGGGCGTCCCCATCGGCCGGAAGCTGGATCTGCTGCTGCTGGACGGCTACGACGACCTCCTCGCTATCCTAGGCCGCATGTTCAAGGCCTCCATCATACGTACGCGACTAGCATTCATATAAGTCATCACAACAAAATTTAACTGTCTGACCATCGATCATGTACTACTTCTTCTCTGATATTTAGTTTGTTTGTTCAATCTAGATCCGGATACTATCGGCCGTGATCACCGAGTGGTTCTTGGGGAGAAGCAGGCTCGCCATGTTGTCACTTATCAAGACCAGGAGGGGGACTGGTTGATGGCCGGCGACCTGCCGTGGGCGTACGTCTATTTGGCTTCATTCTGAATTTCAGACTTATCAGTTCTTCCATCTCACAATAATTCCACAGACTTGAGTTTGAACTATCGACCAGTGATGCAAAACGTGTGGATGATACTTCAGGGAATCAAATTAAATTGCGCTCCACATCTTTGTCAAACTTATTTTTAGAGGATCTTTGTGGAAATCTTAAATAATTATTTTCCTTAATGATTCTTTGGGCAGGCTATTCCTGGCGAGTGTGAAGAAATTGAAGATTGCAAGGGTGGATAGTAGCATCTCGGATTGATTCAACGAGGGCGACTCATGTGGCTCCATTCCTGGGTGTGCTTGGATTTCATTAATTCATTTATTTGGGGGATTAAGATGAGACGGTCATTTCTTGGTGGAGTAGGCTGCTTAATATGTACAGTATGCAGAAGTGCGGGAAATATTCCTGAAAAAAAAAGAGCAACGGATATATAATAGTTTTTTTTAATTATTTTTCTTCAAATTTGATCGTTTATTTTCACCTCTGTGGCCGACACTATGAATATAGATCAAGTACCGGGCTTGCTAAAACTCAATCTACTGAGATTTAACCAAGTCTTAGTCGACTGCATAGCCGTTAGACCTTTGCATGGAGATTCGTGCTGGACTGAGCACCGTCCAACAGACCTCACAACATTTTGTCCCACAGTTTGCAACATATCTTTCTGCCGGTTGCAGCATCTATCTTGCTGGTTGCGGCATGTCGTCTCACCGGGCACAACATCTTCCATCGTCGATTGTAGCACGTCGTCCCACCAGTCGCATCATCCGCCATTTATGGTTGCAGCATTTAGGCACAACGAATGTAGCGTCTGTCGTCATTGCTTGCAACATTTTTCGTCACTGACTGTAGCATGTAGCCATGCCACTCATAACACCGTAACATTGACGTCACTCAACTGAGTTCTAGCCACACCCATCAAGTATGCACAATCTCCAC